AAAAAAAAAAAAAAAAAAAGAAATGTTTTAAAAGTAGTTAAGCTGTTTTTAAAACTGTCTTTACTTTGGAGGTTTGTCATATATTCTACTATAAGTAGTCTCGGTGGCTACAGCTGCTGGAAAAAAAAATGTAGATTTTATAAGCACCTGCTAAGGTTATTCAACTTAACATTTCACTTCTAGCAGTAACCATTCATAATGCCAAACACAGAAAGGGCAATAAATAAAGTGTTGGTAAGAGGATTTTCACAAACTATGCTAGGTCAAGAAATTTTAAAAGATTAGAAATAATCACATATCTCGTAGACTACTGCAGGGGTCCTCAAACTTTTTAAACAGGGGGCCAGTTCACTGTCCCTCAGACCGTTGGAGAGCCAGACTGTGGGCCCTGGCACAAGTCGGCTGCTAAGCAGGACAGGCAGCGGCGGCAAAAACACCTGGCGGGCCGGATAAATGTCCTAGGTGGGCTGCACGTGGCCCGTGGGCCATAGTTTGAGGATGCCTGCTTTAGAGCAATGGTTCTCAACTAGGAGTAATTCTGCCCCCTATCCCCGGGGGACATTTGGCAACACCTGAAGAAATTTTTGGTTGTCACAACAGAGAAGGGCAAGTTCTCCTGGCATCTAGTGGTGAGGCCCAGGGATGCTGCTCCACACCCTACAGTGCACAGGACAGCCCCCACCACAAAGAATGACCCTGCTCCAAATGTTACTGGTGCTGAGGTTGCGAACTCCTACTTTAGAGTAATTATATCTTTAGGGAAGTAATACTCTATCATCCTGTTAATTAAAAATACTTCCACAAGACAGATGTAATAAATGAGAAAAGTTAAAATGGATAATTGGAAGCAATCACAGTACTGGTTAATACAAAGATGATGTGATAAAAAAGTAAAGACTAGAAGAAAAAGATTATTTTATGACTTGTTATTGTCTACTAAAGAATGGGAAGTCCTTTTGCATACATATTTACATATATTTTAACATCCCCAGAAGAAAAGATGACACGACTGTTCTCCATGATGTCATCCAATAATTAAAAACCCTCCCAAGCAAAAACTTCTTTCTGCCTAAATAGCTCATCTAACAGATCTGACACTTTTCTTCATGTTCAGTCCTGGTTGCTGATCCCTTTCTGCATATAAGCATCTTCCACATGCTGGGGGATCATTACTAAATCATCCACCAGACCAAAAAAAAAAACCCTGAGAATTCCCTTAACTCTTTCCTGAAACTCTTAATTTGCCTCCCTTTAATCATCTCTGCAGCTCCCTGCTGAGTCGTCTCTGAACCTTTACTCAGGACTTAAAACAAGAGCCTGAGCCCTGCCGAGTACAGAAGGATCCTCACACGTGCAAAGAGCAATGATAGGTAAACGCACATTTACCAGGAACTTACAAAATGGTCCCCTGTCGCCCCATATGTTAGTCTGTGATGGTGAATAGGGCCACATTGCCTAAGTGGTGCAAACATTTCACTCTTTAACAAAGACAACACCTGTATTTTGGCATCCCAGAGAAAACTGAAATTAAAACATTTTCAGTTTCATGTGAACACTTGCTACAATTGTAAATATTATGTGTAAGAAAAATTTACCTCACTTACCATTCTTTTCTGATGCATACTATCTTGGATCTAACTATCTATAACCTTTGCTCCCAGTTCCCTTACAAAGTGAAATTGGCATGGAATAGTTTCTAGCTCTAAATGCTGTCATATTCTACATTCGCAAAATGGCATAAAATTGCTGAAATACAGGTCATGAATTTCTCCACCAGAGTACAGGGACTCTTCCATTTCCACAGACCAGGAAAACAGCTTTTCTGATTCCTTAGAGCAAAACATTCCTTGCCTTTCTACAAACCACGTAAATAGCAGCCTCTATACTATTATCATTCTGATTGAAAGCATGTAGGTATTATTTACACTGCGTGGAGCCTTTTCAGCATTCCAAACATAGCTTCTAGGAGAGTGCTCAGTTGGCAAGCTTAAATTTCTTCTCTACCCTGTTGATGACAATTACTGCTTCCCACTTGATTACAGTAATAGGTTTCAGCAAAATTAGTAAGCTGTCTCTTAGCAGGTGTGCCTGGAGCTATACAATAGATAATGGAATCTGCGACATTTATTACTATAGTTTTTAAATTTCAACCTTTGTAAGAGTCTAGGGATTCAACAAATTTTTTAAAGGCTGCTGATTACATTATTTGAATCAGCAAATAATGGGTTTTATTTTTTATTTTTATTGGAGACAGAGGCAAACCCAACTCTACCTAATCAACTTTTAAAAAACCTCATTATTTATAAAGCAACATTTACACCTAAAGGCGCCTACCTGTTAAGCAACCAGACCTATAATAAAAAGCATCACTGAACACGTAAGCACAAACCTGCTAAGGTGTCCAAAATACTAAATCAATTTTTGGGGGGGAGAGGTAAAAATGTTTGAGTGTCAAGGTAAAATTGGAGAATATAGCTTATCTAAACTTATTTTTATAAAGCCTCTGGTCAAGATACTTTAAAGACATTTTAAAAGCTATTTAAGGCTCGGCGCCTGTAGCTCAAGCGGCTAAGGTGTCAGCCACATAGACCAGAGCTGGCAGGTTTGAATCCAGCCCAGGCCTGCCAAACAACAATGACAATTACAACCAAAAAATAGCCGGGCGTTGTGCCAGGCACCTGTAGTCCCAGGTACTTGGGAGGCTGAAGCAAGAGGATCTCTTAAGCCCAACAGTTTGAGGTTGCTATGAGCTGTGACGCTACAGTACTCTACACAGGGCAATAGCTTGAGGCTCTGTCTCCAATAAAAATAAAAAAATAAAAACTACTTAACATTAGGAAGAAGTTTCAGAAATTGAAGGGAGGTGCCTTAGAAATAAGAAACAAACAGCAGGACAAAGCAAGCCATTGTCTGCCTTGGCAGTGGGGTGTTCCACAATTAGACTGGGAAAGTCCCATTGACAAGCTTCATGAATACCTAGAAGATGGCTCA